TATAAGTTCAATGGCAGTATATTAAACAGAAAAGATACAGATAGGTTGTGTAAATGGGCCCAAATAGGCACCCAACTCACACGGTACAACACACACAAAAAATTTAAAAATGGTATATATAAAAAACAAAAAAACCTAAAATCACTAGAGCGTGGAAAAAATGAGGGTCATCCCAATTTAGTACTGCCTCTGCCTCTAGTTCTCGGAATGGATCCACCTAACAAATTGGTAATGCGTACCATTACCCGAAGTAACCAAAGTATCATGCAATTTAAAAATGGTATATATAAAAAACAAAAAAACCTAAAATCACTAGAGCGTGGAAAAAATGAGGGTCATCCCAATTTAGTACTGCCTCTGCCTCTAGTTCTCGGAATGGATCCACCTAACAAATTGGTAATGCGTACCATTACCCGAAGTAACCAAAGTATCATGCATAAGATTCCTGAGTTCAAGTAAATCTTCATTTTTGTTCTTCCTCCTAGAAGTGTAAACCTGTCATTCCTCATCTGAAGAATCAGTCTGCTAAGGTGGTAGAGTTGTAGCAGAAGGATTACCAACCGTTGCACCCACAATAGATTCTAGTATATGTGAAATATGAGTTGCCTCTACACCGGATACCTCTTGAGATGGGGAGCTGCGAGGTTCTCCTGAGTATTAGGTTGAACACTATCCTTTGTAGGTAATAGTCTTTCAGTGTTCTTTTCAATAGAATTTGAAGGTGTAGGTTGTCCAGCAGAGCCATCCAGCATCACATCAATTGCAGTAACAAAAGTGTCAGTGGGAGGGTCCACAAGGGCAACAGACACCTCCTGTCTTGTGGTAGTGTCCTCCACAGGTAGAACTAATATGTATAGAGCAGTGGGAGCAGTGGGGTTAGACCCATCCTTATTCACTTGGACCTTAGATTTCAAATTAGGAAGGATCTTGTGGCATTTATCAAGGGTATGCACAAACATCTTACATTTAGTACAATAAGGAGGTGTGTGTTCCTGACGATTTGTTGTCAATATTCATTATGAGTTGTGCCCAGCCAGACTTCAGTAACATCATGTAAAGTAATATCTATTCTAGCCACGGAAGGTCTGGTTAAATTGAAAGTGGGTAGATATAGCTTCAATAGAGAAGAGAACCTGATTAAGAAAAAAATGTAGCTTGAGTCCAGGTAGACTAAACCATACTGGTATTGTGGGAGTTTTATAATTTAGGTCGAAATCAGGAGACCACTTGAGTAACTTCATTGACTTGTCTGCAATATTAAGATATTTCTTGGAGAAAATCCGAGTGTAGTCTTCAACCACGGTTAGTGTTGAATCAACACGAATCAACACATGTCTCTCATCCATGAGTCTCGCTTTCCATTTGCCTACTAATTTAATATCATCAGCACTCTTTCTGATAATTTTCATAGGTTGGTGCCCCCACTGAAATTTTTCAATAAGAGTGAACTTGAATTTCTCAGTCATGATTGAAATTTCTAAGTGAGAGAAAAAAATTGTTGTTTTCTCACTTTTCCTGCTTCCCTTCTTAACAAAAGGGCAATCACATATACCATCACGACAATCCTTATAGCTTGAAGGGAAGACAACCGCAGACTTCACTTGAGGGTTACCCACCACGTGGGCAAAGAGACTTTGTCAGATTCAACCAAAGAAGAAGGGAAGGTCATCAGAGCAGCGGATCTGTCGGCCTTGTTGTCGGGTAGGGAGAGGCGCAGCGTCGAAACACGCAGATGCTGCGCAGCGTTGAAGCGGCGAGAGTAGACGAAACTATGCGAGAGA